GTTTCTGGAGCCCCAGCTTGGACAGCCGTACCTACCCCATTCCCCGCCGGGGTTCAGAACCGCACAGGTCTATAGGGGCAGAAATCTCGGCTTGTATTCCCCCTTCCCAGAATCCACGCGAGCCTGGGCTGTCTCCACTCCATTGTTTTATTATGTACAAACGCTACAGAACGAGGGGGACAGACACGCGTGGGGTAAGAGGGGCCTGGTGGGAGGAGAAGTTCACAGAGCAGACGGTGCACTGGGACCAGGGGAGCAGCACACAGGCCATATCTATAGGGCAGGCGGGGCAGGAAGGGGTTAAAAACGAGATCCAAGCCAGCCAGATCGCAGGAGGTGCGGGGGCGTCGTCCCCCTTCTGATGTCCCACCAAGGTCACAGTGCATGCAATAAAATATATGTACAGGAGCCGGATCCGTCCTCTGCAGGGGCCCTGTGGGTCCAGAGCTCCCTTCGGGCGGAGGGAAGCCGGTGGCGCTCCCTGGCGGCCAGGCCGGGCTGGAGCCACATGCGTCGGGGAGCTGGGGTCAGTCCCAGCCGTTGTCTTTGATCATGTGGTTGAGTTCAATGATGTACTTCCCCTCTTTGTACTTCTGGCTGCTCTCAAAGGCCTGTTCCTAAAAGGAGGGGCGGGACCGTCATCCCCGGAGCAACAGTCTCACCACAAAGCACAGGGGATGGGGAGTGGACATGAGTGGCCCCATTTTACATATGAGGAAACTGTGGACCGGAGGGGCATGGCTGTGTTTCTCATAGGTAGAACAGAACTTCCTGACTCGAAGGTACTTTTTAAGTACTAATGATGGCTCCAACAGAGAAGACAGGGAAGTGGCTAAAAGATTTCTCAGTTCAGAGTTTGCAAACTGGTGGCTTCATGGCCATTTTGGTCTATAACATATGTTATGTTTGGACAGCAGAGGGTTTAATAAAAATAATTTAAGTATTAAAATACAGGCAGGCCAGGCTGGGTACGGTGGCTCATGCTTGTAATCCCAACACTTTGGGAGGCCAAGGCAGGTGGATCACCTGAGGTCGGGAGTTTGAGACCAGCCTGACCAACATGGAGAAACCCTGTCTCTATTAAAAATACAAAATTAGCTAGGCGTGGTGGCACATGCCTGTAATCCCAGCTACTCGGGAGGCTGAGGCAGGAGAATCACTTGAACCCAGGAGGCAGAGGTTGCGGTGAGCCGAGATCACGCCATTGCACTCCAGCTTGGGCAACAAGAGCGAAACTCCATCTCAAAAAAAAATTAATAAAATATATATATACCCACACACATATATATGCAGGCTTTGCTCACTCCAGTTTGCCCCAGCCTACCCCCAACCCCCAGCCCCTTGAATCTATGCTGCCCTTTACACATCTACAGTATCTGCTTGGCCTTGCAGGCACTTGAGTTTTTGACCTCTGGTCTAGGCCAGCTCTTTATTTGATAGAGGTCCGGAGTGGCCAAGCCACCTGTCCAGAGACAGAGCCAATCTGTGGCAGGGTCAGTGGTAAGCTCAGGTCAGGGCTGGCTGGCTGGCTCTGCCTGGGACATCCACCTCACAGAGGCACCACAGCTCCAAGCGACGCCTGAAGAATCCTGTCCCTTGCAATGTCCCAAAAGCATCTTCGTTTGCCACATCTAATCTGATCCCTGTAACAATCCTGGGTGCTAGGCAGTGGCTTTATCTTCCACTGACAGATAAGGAACTGAGACTCAGGGTAGTGAAATCACACCCTGGACAGCAGCAGTGGCAGCGAGGGCTACGGAAAGGGAGACTGGTGCATCCAAGCCCAGGGTTGTTGTGGAGTCTGGGGCAATTTTTCTGATCCTCTGAATGACAATATAAGCTGGTGGCCAAGGGTTTGGAGTGAAAAAAAAAAAAAAAAATCAACCAACTAGGATTGTGGTCCCTATTCTGTTACTTACCAGTTGTGTGATCTTGGCCAAGTTACCTAACATCTCTGGGCCTCCCTGTCTTCTTCTGTAGAGATAATAATAGCTTCTACCTACAGGATCGCTGCAATGATTGAATGAAATAATAGATGCCAAGCACACAACAGTGCACGGCACATAAGCATTCAATAAACGGTGACTCTGATGATATCCTTACTCTCAAACGGGGATGCAAGTGCCTGGGAGAGGAGGGATGGGTTAAGAGAAAAATTTCACAGCCCTTGCAGGGTGCGAGAGAAGAGAACGTGGTCAGAGATGAAAAGATCGTCTAACTTGTGTGAGCTGGGCCTATGCAATCTGAAAGGTTATCGGATGACTGCTTGTCAGGAGGAGGTGTTGGAAGGTCAGATCAAAGGCTGGCCTGGGGTCAAAGGTGGCTGACTCACATATTTCCAGCCCAAAGTGGTCTTGCAGTTCTCGCAGTGGATGTCGGCAACAGCATGGAGGCCGGTCAGCAGCACCCGCTCCTCGGCTGGCCCGCAGCCCACGTTCACCCTGTGGGGACATAGGGCAGTCCCAGGGAGGGTCCTGACATCACAGGGCCCCCCTCAAGCACTATGCCTGTCCTGAGCATCCAAGAGAGGATGCTCACAGCTTCCTGCCTGCACCGGGGAATTCTGGGAGTCTCAGCAGGATGCCAGGGGTCACAGGTCACAACAGAGGTCAGGGAAAGCAAGAAGGGAGGCCAGATACTCACACAGAGTTGAAGAGGTAGGCACGCCCCTGACTGCCCTGGAAGGACTAAAGAGTCGGGGGTGGGAAGAGAGGAAGGGGTCAGGGCTGCTGGTGGGGAGCTGCCAGGCAGCCCCTATAACTTCCAGCCCCACTGTGGCCTGGTTGGTTACCTTGGAGATGAGGTCGTCGTGGTTGGCCAGGTGAGCGCGGCAGTGGGCACAGCTATACCTCCGGTGACAATCATCCAAGTAGGCCTGAAACGTCTTGGGCTTTGAAATCCGCACCATGGCGGGGGCCGGGGGCAGTGGCCCCACGCGGGGAGCGGCCCACGGGGAGCAGAGGGAGCCCAGTGCCTGCCAGGGAGGGAGTAGGTGGGCTGTCAGGACCTGGGCCACACACATGCAAGGCACTCCCAGAGCCGTGGGGACTCGCTCTGTCACACTCGGCTGCTCTCTCCTTTCCCCAGAGGCAGCAGCCTCTCCAGGGACCAGAGGCTCTTGGTTTTGACTCAGTGAGGAGGCCTCAGGTTGCATCAATGGGGAAACTGAGGCTCGGAGGAGCCCAGTGTGAGTCACCCGCTTGCTTCCTGCCTCACCCTTGCTGACCTGGCACTGAAGCTGGAGAAAGGGGCTTTGGAGGGGCTGGGCTGTCAGTTCCCAGTTTCAGGGGAGCATAGGCGGGTTGGCATTGGTTGGTCCTTGCAACCTCATCTGGAGGGCAGTGGGGGTTCTCTGGGGGTTTAGGGGGTTCATAGGCGGGAGGGTCCTCCACCTGGAGGGGGCGGGAGGCTTCGCAGTGAGGGTGGAGGGTCACCTAGGAGGGGAGGGGCTCTCACCTGCGGGCGCCGAGGCCTCCTCTACACCCAGGGGCTCTTACCTGCGTCGCGGAGCCTTACCTGGACCCCGGGGCTCACCTGGGGCGCGGGGGTGGGGGCGGGCGCCGGGGGCGGGGGCGCGGGGCGACGCGCAGCCCTGACGGCGCGGGCCTCACCTCGCCTGGGCGCGCGGGGCCCGGTCCGCCGGGGTGGGCTGGCCTGGGAGTGGGGGGCGCTCCTAGCGGGCGCCGTCCCCCCCGGCCCGGGTTCGCAGGCGCCTGGACTTGTTTACACCGAGCCCAGCTGCTGCCGCCGCTGCGGCGGGAGGGGGAGGGGACCCGCCTCCCGTCCCGGCGGCCGCCGTGGCCAATGGGCGCGCCGCATGCAAATGAGGGGGCGCGTCACTCGGCCGCCGGCGCAGGCCCTGGCTGCCCCTCCCCCGCCGCCCGCACCCGCCGGCCCGGAAATGCGGCGGCGGCCCGCGCGTCCCGGGCCTGCTAGCATTCCTGCTCGCGGTCCGCGCCGGGGCGGGGTCGGAGGGTCTAGGCCGGGCGCGGGGCGGAGAACGGGATGGCGCTGGGACGCACGCCCGGGGGAGTAGAGTCATAATGACCCGCGTTTGCCCGCCGCCCAAGCCCTGCTCAATCCCCGCATCAATCCGGTGAGGCCGTTTCTCCCGTTGGTTCCACTGTTCCGGGGGCTGAGGCCCAGGGAGGTCTCGCGGCTCCCCAGGTTATCCAGCTGGTACGGGGCGAAGCTGGAATTCTCAGGGTGGGCCCATTCCACGGCCTATGCCAGAGCGCCAGGGACACACTCAGTTCACCTCTTAGCAGGGAAGGGCCAGAGGGGCGCATCCCCCCTGGCAGCCAGAGCCTCGAACCAGGCAATTCCTACATCACCTCCCTCCAGGCACCCTTCCGATGCCCCTGTCTTCCAGGCTGGGTTAGATCTGATCTCAGGGCACGTGTGTTTCAACACGCTTCTGCAGTTCTTACCCTTGTCTTTCTCACTGCAGTGGGCCTGGCCTGGCCTAGAGGAGGCGCTCAATAAGTGTCTGTGAAATGTGAATGTGTAGTTCATTCAATGAATGTGGCCCTGGGGCTGGAGAGGGCACAGGCGTTCTGGGAGCTTCTGGAGAAGGAGACCTGGGAGGAGAAGGTTGGAATGGCGGAGGCAGCAGAGGGGCTGGGTGAACTCAGCTGTTCCACCAAGGCCCATCCTCTGCAGCACGAGGAGGAAGCTCACAGGGCAAGACATGGGAGAGATCAAGCCCCCTGCCCTGTGCCTGGGCTGTTGATGGCCTCAGGAAAATGGAACCATTATCTATCGCTGTCAAGTGGCTGGGGGCCAGGACACCTGGGTTGGCAGTGAGGGGACATTCCTGAGGAGAGTGGAGGCCAGGTTGACACAGGGTGTGCTAGGATGACGGGAATGTAGTGGAACCAGTGGGTCAGGCTCCTGAGAACCCCAGGCTCCAGCCTCAGGGCTGGCCTGTTCCCTCCTAAGCTGCCATCTTGACATCTTCAGGACCCACCCCTCTACTCCTCACTCTCAGCACAACGATGTGATCCAAAGGCAAATATTTATTTTTCAGGAAGAGAAACAGGAGAGGGTGAGGCCTCTGGACTTAGGAGGTCCGGGCAGCTGGTTCATGGTTGTCCAGGTAGTGCCTCAGAGCTGTGGGGTAATCCGTCATGACGCCAGAGGCTCCCACGCTGAAGGCGGCTTCAAAATCCGACTCATCATTAAGGCACCAAAAGACCACCTGAGCAGGGAGGGAGGGGGCTTGAAGTTTCTGAACAATTTTACATCTAGACCTGCCTCCTCCTCTATGGAGACCTCCCAGCAGCAGTACGCTGGTGCTGATTGTTAAATTCTCAGGAATTTTGCAAAGTGGTTATTAAACCCAGCCATTATTAAAAATTAAATCATAGCCTGGGTACCGTGGCTCATGCCTGTAATTTCAACACTTGGGGAAGCTGAGGCAGGAGTTGAGGCCAGGTGTTTGAGATCAGCAAGTAAGACCCCCTCTCTACAAAACACGTTTTAAAAATTAGCCAGATGTGGTGGTGTGCGCCTGTGCTCCCAGCTACTTGGAAGGTGAGAGAATTGCTTGAGCCCAGGACTTTGAGGCTGCAGTGAGCTATGGTTGCGCCACTGTACTCCAGCCTGGGCAGCAGAGCAAGACCTCATCTCAAAAAATAATAAATAAATTATATAAACATAATTAAATGAATTATTAAAACAACAGTGGCTGGGGTGGTGGTTCACACCTGTAATTCCAGCACTTTGGGAGGCCGATGCAGGTGGATCAGCTAAGATTAGGAGTTCGAGACCAGCCTGGCCAACATGGTGAAATCCATCTCTACTAAAAATACAAAAATTAGCCGGGCGTGGTGGTGGGTGCCTGTAATTCTAGATACTCGGGCGGCTGAGGCAGGAGAATCACTTGAACCCAGGAGGTGGAGGTTGCAGTGAGCCAAGATTGTGCCACTGGACTCCAGCCTGGGTGACAGATCGAGACTGTGTCTCAAAAAAAAAAAACAAACCTCAAAAAACAAACACTAGTAAATACTCAAAGCATATCTCTTCCTAATCTTCCTAATCAATTTCCTATTACTCTGTTCTTGAAGTTATTAAGTCTGCTGAAGCTGTAAAATGGAAATACTAGATGATGGGGTGCCACCACGAATCTCTTCCCATTCTTCATTTAGTGGCTTCATGTTGGCAGCCTGAAACTGGCCAAGGTGGGAATATTTAAACCAGGAAAACTAATGCTCAGATCAGGGCTTTATTTGTTCCTCTTTGAGAGCTGGTTGTTGACCACTTAACCAGCACCGCCTTCCCCCAGCCCCCTTGCCCCCACTGCCTGCCCCAGCTCCTGCAGCTCTGTCCCTTCCCTGCCCTCCTGCCCTTTCCAGTGGGCACTGAGATTGGAATTTTTTATTTTATTAAAAATACAGCCAGGCGCAGTGGCTCACGCCTGTAATCCTAGCACTTTGGGAGGCCGAGGTGGATCACCTGAGGTCAGGAGTTCAACACCAGCCTGGCCATCATGGAGAAACCCCATCTTTATTAAAAAAAAAAAAATACAGACAAGACAAATTCTCACTGTTTTGCCAACGCTGGAGTGCAGTGGTATAATCATGGCTCACTGTAGCCTTGACCTCCCGGGCTCAAGGGATCCTCCCACCTCAGCCTCCTAACTAGCAGGGACTATAGGCATGCACCACCATGCCCAGTTAATTTTACTTAATCAATTAATTAATTTTTGAGACAGTCTTGCTCTGTCGCCCAGGCTAGAGTGCAGTGGTGCGATTTTAGCTCACTGCAACCTCTTTCTCTTGGGTTCAATCAATTCTTGTGCTTCAGCCTCCCAAGTAGCTGGGATTCTAGGCACCCACCGCCATCCTCTGCTAATGTGTACCTTTTTAGTAGAGATGGGGTTTCACCATGTTGGCCAGGCTGGTCTCTAACTCCTGGCCTCAAGTTATCGGCCTCCCAAAGTGCTGGGATTACAAGCATGAGCCACCGTGCCAGGTCTCTGCATTTTTCTTTCCTTTCCCTTTTTTTTTCCTGTTTCCCTCCCTCTCCTTTCCCTCTCCCTCTCTCTCTCTCTGGCTTTCTCGCTCTTGCTCTCTCTCCTCTCTCTCTTTCAAGACAGAGTCTGGCTATCTCTCCCAGGCTGGAGTGTGGAGTGCAGTGGCGTGATTCTAATTATAGCTAACTGCAGCCTCAAACCCCTGTGCTCAGGTGATCCGCCCATCTCAGCCTCCTGAGTGGCTGGGACTGCAGGTGCAAAAACCACTGTGCCTGGCTAATTTTTAAATTTTTGGTAGAGATGGGGGTCTTGGTATGTTGCCTAGACTGGTCTTAAACTCCTGAACTCAAGTGATCCTCCCACCGTGGCCTCTCAAAGTGCTGGAAGTACAGACGGAAGCCCCTGTGCCCAGCCTCTGCCTACGGCATTTCTTCCCTGTGCCCTTGATGGTAAGCTCCCACCCCTAGTACCATAGTGCCTGGTACATTCTCAAGGATGGTTTATAAATTAAATGATCTGGTTGAAGCCGATGCTTAGGGGAGAGGGTGGGTGGGCTGGCCTTGGTTTCTCCCTTCTCTCATCTTTCCATGGCCCCTCTCATCAGGGATGAGGATACATCATTGTTGTCATCATAATATCTAACATTTATCAAGCCCTTAATAAATACTGGTTACAGCTGGGCTCGGTGGCTCATGCCTGTAATCCCAACACTTCGGGAGGCTGAGGCAGGTGGATCAAGAGGTCCGGAGTTTGAGACCAGCCTGGCCAACATGGTGAAACCCCGTCTCTGCTAAAAATACAAAAAAAAATTAGCCAGGCGTGCTGGCGCATGCCTGTAATCCCAGCTACTCAGGAGGCTGAGGCAGGAGACTCACTTGAACAGGGGAAGCAGAGGTTGCAGTCAGTCGAGACTGCGCCATTTCCTCAGCCTGGGCAACAGAGCAAGACGTCTCAAAAAAAAAAAAAAAAAAAAAAAGAAGCACTAGTTACATATCCATATGTTGGCAGTGTTGGGTTAAGAAAATGTGTGTGTGGCCAGGTGTGGTGGCTCACACGTGTAATCCCAGCACTTTAGGAAGCTGAGGTAGGTGGACCACCTGAGGCCAGGAGTTTTAGACCAGCCTAGCCACCATGGTAAAACGCTGTCTCCACTAAAAAAACACAAAAATGAGCTGGGTGTGGTGGCAGGCACCTGTAATCCCAGCTACTCAGAGGCTGAGGCAGGGAGAATCACTTGAACCCAGGAGGCAGAGGTTGCAGTGAGCCAAGATTGCACCACTGCACTCCAGCATGGTTGACAGAGCAAGACTGTCACACACACAAAAAGAAGAAACGAGAATGTGTGTGTGTGTGTGTGTGTGTGTGTGTGTGTGTGTGTGTGTGTGTATCCAGAAGAGTTAAATATACCATTTTCCTATTTTAGGGATGAAGAAACTGAGACTCAGACGAAGTCACCTGCCTGAGCTATGCAGCTAACTGGCAGCAGAGTGGGACCAGAACTGTACTGCCAGGCCCGCATGCAGTGGGAGCAGTGGTCAAGGCCTCACCTGCACCCCGCGCTCCTCCAAGTGTCGGATCAGACTCTTCCTCATGATCATCCTGGGGATGGGGACAGGGGAGGTGATGATAAGAGGGGACCTGGGAGAAGGGCAGCAGCAGGTCTCTATGGGGACACTCCACCTAACCGTCTCGCCCACCTCACCATTTCGAAACCACAGCCAACAACTGGTTCAGGCAAGAGCAGGAAAATGGGAAATAGGTCCTGCAGAGAGAAGGAGGTGGGGGTCAGCCCCTAGGGTCTCCCATCCCAGAGGTGGGGTGGGGTGGTAGTGTCCCCCTTCCTCTGATCAGGGTAGCGCTGCCCTCCTGCCCCCCAGAGTCCCCCAGAATAACCTTTGCAGTGGCCCTCATGAACAATTCACCCATTGTTCAGAGAGCCTGACCACCACACTTTGAGGGTGTGGCCCTCCAGTCACCATTCAACAGATAAGAAGTCTGGGCCTTAGAGAGCTGAAGGGACTTGCTAGACCCAGAGCAGAGCAGTGGTGGTGCTGGGGCCAGGATCTGGCTCAGTTCCAAAGCTGGATACCCAGGCTGGAGGTCCTCCTGGTTGGGCCTGGCCAGCTTCTTATTTATTTATCTTACTTATTTATCTTATTATTAATTTAAAGCAATTTTGTTTTTTTTTTAAATCAGATTCTCGCTCTGTCGCCCAGGCTGTAGTGCAGTAGCGTGATCTCACAATCTCGGCTCACGGCAACCTCTGCCTCCTGGGTTCAAGCGATTCTCCCACCTCAGCCCCTCAAGTAGCTGGGACTGCAGGCACACATGACCACATCTTGCTAATTTTTGTATTTTGGTCAAGCTGATCTTGAACTCCTGACCTCGTGATCCGCCCACTTTGGCCTCCCGAAGTGCTGGGATTACAGGCGTGAGCCACCGCGCCTGGCCTAAAAAAGTTTGTTTTTAGAGACAAGGTCTCGTTATGTTGCCCAGGCTGGTCTCAAACTACTGGACTCAAGCAGTCCTCCTGCTTCAACCTTCCAAAGTGTCAGGATAGTAAGCGTGAGCCAGCCGATGCAGTGCCTCATGCTTATAATCCCAGCATTTTGAGAGGCCAAGGCAGGTGGATCACTTGAAGTCAGGAGTTTGAGACCAGCCTAGCCAACATGGCAAAACCTTATCTCTACTAAATACAAAAATTAGCTGGGCATGGTGGTGCACTCCTGTAATCTCAGCTACTTGGAAGGCTGAGGCAGGAGAATTGCTTGAACTGGGGAGGCAGAGGTTGCAGTGAGCCGAGATTGCACTACTGCACTCCAGCCTGGGCGACAGACAGAGCGAGACTCCATCTCAGAAAAAAAAAAAAACAAAAAAAATGGGAGCTACTGTGCCCACTGGCCAGCTTCTTGAGACCAGACATCGCGTAGTGGGTTGGTCCCTAATTATCCTACTCCAGGGGTGACTTTAGAGGCCCTTTATAGTGTCCTAGGGCAGGCTTTGGAGTCAGACCCAGGGAAAACCCAAGCTCTGAATTTCTGGCAGTGTGACCTTGGGCAAATCACAGAACCTCTCTGGGCCTCAGATTCTCTAGGGTACCATGGGGGTCACGATTCCTATACCTCCTGAGGGTGCTGCAAGGTAAAAGTCAAATAACCCTAAAGATGTGAAAACACTTTATAAATCCTGTATAAAAGGTGGTACACAAACATCATTGAATGACTTCTTTGCAGCAAGGGATTGTAGGGGCTGAGCGGGACTTTCCTCTGGACCACAGAGGGGAGCAGAAAGCTCTCGGACCACCACAGAGAAGCTGTCAGAAAGCAAAGGGAGACCAGGCCCTGGGGCTCAGGCCTGTAATCCCAGCACTTTGGGAGACTGAGGCGGGAGGCTTGCTTGAGCTGAGGAGTTCAAGACCAACATGGGCTTTGGTAGTATTGTTTTAAGGGACTAAGGAAAAAAAAAAAAAGCCCAACATGGGCAAAGTGAGACCTTGTCTCTACAAATAATTTAGAAATTAGCCAGGTGCAGTGATGCACGCCTATACTCCCGGCTACTCAGGAGGCTGACGCAGGAGGATCTCCTGAGCCTAGGAGGTTGAGGCTGCAGTGAATCATGGTCTGGCCACTGCATTCCAGCCTGGACAAGACTGTCTCCAAAAAAAAAAAAAAAAAAAATTGTTTTTAAAAAGCAAAAGGAAGGACTAGGCCCAGGCATAAATGCCAGAGAAGTATCCAAATTCCTGATACTTTCCCCAGCTGTTACTTTGTTAACCCCTGCCTTCCTGCAGAAGAACATTGACTTGCCCTTTTCTTAGAGTCTGAGACAGCCATGCTATATAATGAATGAATTAATGTCTCCCCAGCCAGACTGTAAGCTCATGGAGGACCTTCTCCCACCCTCATTGGTTTTATTGACATTATAACTGCACCTTGGACAGAGCAGACATTCAATAAAATAGGCTAGATGAACTGAGATGGATAAATGAGCCCTCTCTTCTAAAACTCATCAATACACATTTGCACAGAATTTCAGGGGGTTCACAGTTCCCTTAGTATTCATGAATACTGGGTAAGAATCACTGTCCTTAAAGTACCTTGGGGGTTATCTCTGATGGGAGCCAGCTGGGGAGATCCGGGCTTCTCCTCCAAAGGGTACCCTACGCAATGGGGTGTTATTCTGAGGTCCGCCCCCATCAACCCCGTACCTGTTGATGATGTTGGGCAAGAAGCAGAAGAAGAACTTCTCAGGGATTGGGATGAAGGGCAGCAGCCCCAGGTAGTAAGAAAGGAGCACCCAGAATGCTCGGCTTATTGTGAAGGACTGGGGCATCTCGGGGTTCTGGGGAGACAAGGAGAGGTGTGAGAGAGGATCTGTCTGCTCTGGGGAAGCAGAGAGGAGGCATGGGCTGCAGGGGGGCCATGGTGGGCATTTCGGAGGCCCTAGCACCTGCAGGATCCAAGTTACATCTTGGGGATGGGAGGGGTGGTTCACGTCTGTAACCCCAAGCACTTTGGGAGGCTGAGGCAGTCAGATCACCTGAGGTCAGGGGTTCAAGACCAATATGGTGAAACCCCGTCTCTACTAAAAATTAAAAAATTAGCCAGGCATGGTGGTGTGCGCCTGCAATCCCAGCTACTCAGGAGGCTGAGGTATGAGAATCGCTTGAACCTAGGAGGCAGAGGTTGCAGTGAGCTGAGATTGTGCCACTGCACTCTAGCCCGAGCGACAGAGAGAGACTCTGTCTCAATAAAGAAAAACAAAGTCACATCTTGGCTTTGTGTTCAAGGCCTGAGTTCACACCCTTTCCATTGCCATCGCCATGCCACTGAGAACGCTCCCGGACCCCTCTAGCTTGGGTCGACAGGCTGGGTGGGCTCCAGCTCCCAGGAGGAGGGGCCGCTAGAGCAGGAAGGGGATGGAGGTGGGGGGCAGGGAGGACGAACTCACAGCAGCCTTGCATTTCTTCATGATGGAGCTCTTCTCCGAGGCCCAGACGGTGATTTCATTACGGTCAAAGCGCCTCACCAAGCCTGCTATCTGGAAGAGGAGAAGGAGATGACGGGAGAGCCACGCCTCTCTCCCGCCCCGCGTCACCACGCTCGCCCTGCCTGCAGCACCACCTCACGGATGAGCTCTTCGTTCTTCCCTTTGATCTCCACGCTCATGGGTGTCCTTGGGAACCTCTGGAACAGGTCCTCCAGACGCACCATGCGCCGGTCTGTCCCGTGAGCAAAGTGGCCTGGCAGGTGTGGGAAGAGGGGTCAGAGAGGGAAGCCAAGGTAGAGGTCTAGGGAAGGCGGGCATGGCCCAGGCAGGGCTCGAAGCCCTTGCTCTCACCTGGAGAGAAGTAAACCTCCAGCTCCTCCTTGTAGAGGGGCAGGTCCTGGGGAGGACAGGAAGGATGTCACTAGAGGCTGGCATCAGGCATGGCGACTCTCAGGGTGAGGGGTGGGGCATCAGGGGAGGGCCCACCTCAAAGTCCAGGCTGCTCACATCCCTGTTCAAGCCTGACTGACGGCACAGGTTCTCATCATGTGACACCACAACCACTCTGTCCCGTGTCAGCTGACAGTCGAGCTCCAGGAGGTCCGAGTGCTGGGCCATGGAGCTGTGGGGGCGAAGGTCAGTGGGGGGCAGAGGGGCAGGGGACTGGGATGATGGGCATGGTGGTGGGGAGGTGGTGGAGAATGTGAGGGCAGAATTCACGGTGGGATGTGCAGGCCACCTTGACGGGGTTCCAGTCACCAGGTTAGGAAATGAATGGCGTCCCTTGCTATGATGCAGTGCATGACCTGCACACCCTCACATGGTAGCCTGGCCAGGGGCAGATACACTCACTTCTCCATGGCCTCCATGGTGTTCTCCAGCAGCTCTCCAGATCCTGTGGGGGGCACTGGAGTGGGACCCTGGGGCTTGGGGTCTAGGGGCCTGGCCCGACCTCATTACCCACATTCCCTCTCTGGGCTCTATCCTCGCTCTGTCCTCACCTCCCCAGCCAGCCCAGGCTGCGCCAGCCTCTTCTTCCTTGTCCACGCCCTGCCCTGCCACCTCGCTCTCCTTCTCTCTTGGTCTCTGCCCTGTTTCTAGCATCCACCCCTTGGACCTACCCCTCTCTGCTGTCCACTTTGGCGCCTGTTCTCACCCCACCCAGCTCACCTCCTCGGTGGGCTCCCAGGCGGATGCGGAAGTTGGGAGCCCGGGGCGTGTGCAGCAGGTGAGGCCGGCGCAGGAAGAAGACGGAGAGCATGGCATAGCTGCCGAGGGCGGGGAGGGCATAGTAAAGGAAAAGGCTCATGACTGCACTCCTGCAGAAGCTCCCACAGCCGCACGCTCAGCCGTCCAGGGACTCTGCTGCCTGCCTAGCCGGTGTGGGCCGGCTCTACTACTGGCCACTGCCACGCCCCTGGGACCTGCTGATCCTGCCGCTGGGCTGGCTCGGAGCCAGGCTGCAGGGTTCGGCTGAAGCCAGGGTAGTATCAGGAGATGAGGCAAGCAGCCCTGACCCTTATATCCCTAGGCCCTTCCCAGACCCCGGCACCCACCCTGTCCTGGCCACATGAGGGGAGTAAAAATCACCCAGGACTGTTAGTACCTCTCCCTCCCACTGGCGCTTGGTGGCCAGGGCATCCAACATGCCCTGTTCCCTTGCCATTTCAGAGGATCCAGGGGTATGTAGGGTGCCCCTGAGTCACCCCGAATCACCCCTAGCCAGACAGGAAGCCATTAGCGAGAGGACAGGACAGTGACTAAGGGGAAAATTGATCCCCTTCTTTCTAGGAGTCTGGAGCTCCTCAGAGGCCCATCCCCAGCCCTGGGCAGTGTGAGTGGAGGGCACCAGGCCCTGGAAAGCCCGAGCCAAGCAGCAGCTGGGGTGCTGGAGTCTGTCTTCAGAGCCGCACGGGGCAGGGCGGGGCGTCGCAAACACAGACAGAGCCAGGGTCAGCCATAGACACAACTCTATATTTATATATTAGACGGGCCAAGGAGGTGGTGGGGGTGCCGGGCTCTCCACGTCTCCCAGCTCTACTCCGCTCACCACACACAGAAGCAGTGAGGGCACTCAAAGTGGCAGCTTCGACGAGAAGGGGATTCAGCTTGGCCCGGCTCCTGGGGATGCTAGCCCTTGAGACTAAGGAATGTTCCTTCAGGGAAACTAGGGAGGGGTTTGAATGAGATGAGGAGGAAGTCCTGGCCCTGAGTCCTACTCAACGCCCCCCACCCTCCACCCCCGCCCCTCAGCAGGTCGGGCAGCCAGAGCCCTTCCATTCCAGAACTGCAGAGACTGGGACAATGGGGAAGGGAAGGGCACAGCAGCAGCAGCGGGAAATTGAACTGGGGCCACCTGAGCCTCCGACGCCCTGTGGGGAGGGTGGGCAGGGAGGAGGAGGCCTTGGCCTGCCTGACGCTGCAGGCCTGAGCAAAGGAGAGAGGTGGCCAGGCCCGTGTTCCACCCCGGCTGGGCTGCCAAGGTCTGAGCTGGGCACAGTGTCCATTTTCTAACAGTCCGGCGGGAGAGGGGCAGGAGGGAGGCAGCTCCTAAAGAGAGAAGCAGGCAGGAGAGGAGTCATCAGCACCCTCGGGCAGACCAGATGGAGCCCATCACCCTCACAGCTGGGCAGGCTGGAGCTCAGTTTCCTTATCTGTAAGTGGAGATAATAATAGTGCCTAGCTCGAGGTACTGCTGTAAGATTAAAAGAATTAATACATGTAAACCTCTTAGAACAATGCTTAGGGCTTTATGCTTTCATTATTAGAACTGTCTCGGCCAGGCGTGGTGGCTCATGCCTGTAATCTCAGCACTTTGAGAAGCCGAGGCAGGTGGGTCACTTGAGCCCAGGAGTTGGAGACTGACTTGGGCAAATAGTAAGACCCCAACTCTTAAAAAAAAAAAAAAAAAAAAAAGGCCGGGCGCGGTGGCTCACGCCTGTAATCCCAGCACTTTGGGAGGCCAAGGCGGGTGGATCACGAGGTCAAGAGATCGAGACCATCCTGGTCAACATGGTGAAACCCCGTCTCTACTAAAAATACAAAAAATTAGCTGGGCATGGTGGCGCATGCCTGTAATCCCAGCTACTCAGGAGGCTGAGGCAGGAGAATTGCCTGAACCCGGGAGGTGGAGGTTGCAGTGAGCCGAGATCATGCCATTGCACTCCAGCCTGGGTAACAAGAGTGAAACTTTGTCTCAAAAACAAACCAAAATTAACCAAAAAAAAAAAAAAAAAAAAGCCAGTTGCAAAGTCTCGTCCAGGTACCTGGGAGGATCCCTTGCGCCCAGGAATTTGAGGCTGCAGTGAGCTATGATTGTGCCACTGCATTCCAGCCTGGGCAACAGAGTGAGATACTGTCTCAAAAAAAAAATAAAAACAAACAAAAAAAGATAAAACTGTTTCCAGGAAACTGAGGCATGGAGAGGCGAGGTGCCTTACCAACTATCACACAGCACTTACTAAGTGGCACAGCTGGAGTTTGAGCCCAGGTGTGCTGCCTTCTTCCTATCAGGCCATACCTGGCCAGAGACAGGAAGAGACCGGAGGAGGCAGTGTGGGTGGGGGCAGGCCCAGCGGGGTCCCACAGGCTATGTGAACTGCTGACCTGGCAGCAGGTGTGAGGAGGCCTGGCCATCTGGGTCAGGCTGGGTGATGCTGGGCCCCTCCCAAAGCAATCATGGCTCCACCTGCTTCTGCCACACCCAGAGCTGAGGCCTGGCTCAGGGCCTTACCTGGGTGACAGGGGCCCTCAGTAACCTCTTGCCTCTTTGCTAGTTCTGTTCCCAGAAGGAGATTAGAATGGCTCCTGGGGCAGGAGGATGCAGGGTGTTGACAGGTGGAGACATCTGGGGTTGGAGGACTAGGTGGGCCACGAGTCTGGGTAGTCCGTGGGCATTTTTTTCTTTTATTGAGACAGAGTCTCACTGTTGCCCAGGCTGGAGTGCAGTGGTGCAACCTCTGCCTTCCAGGTTCAAGAAATCCTCCCACCACAGCGTCCTGAGTAGCTGGGTCTTACAGGTGTGCACAACCACACCTGGCTAATTTTTGTATTTTTAGTAGAGACAGGGTTTCACCATGTTGGCCAAGCTGGTCTCGAACTCCTGACCTCAGGTGACCCACCCGCCTCAGCCTCCCAAAGTACTGGATTACAGGAGTTAGCCACCGCACCCAGCTAATTTTTGTATTTTGAGTAGTTTTTGTATTTTTTTGGTGTGTAATTTTTGCATTTTTTTGTATTTTTAGTAGTTTCACCATGTTGGCCAGGCTGGTCTTGAACTTCTGACCTCAGGTGATCTACTCATCTTAGTCTGTCTCCCAAAGTGCTGGGATTCCAGGCATGCGCCACCATGCCCAGCTCCCTGGGCACCTCTGATGTCACCAGACACATGGACCATGGGTACGGGGTAAGCTTGCAGCTTTAGAGATAGATAAAGATAGAGATAGATGGAGACAGAGATAGAGATAGAGACAGAGATAGCTGTAGGTGTGGATATAGAGATAGAGATCTATATTTAGTATCAGTGTGTCTGTGTGCGGGCCATGGGGACACTCACCAGGCCCCAGGGCACAGGATGTCTGTCCAGGTTAGGGGGCCTCCAGCGCCCCAGGCTGGAAGCGTGCTGTCTCCTGGAAGATGAGCTCCTTCAGCCGCTCCTTGGGTAGGTCGTCCAGCTCCATGTCGAAGGTGAAGGGCTCCTCGGCCACTGGCTGGGGTGGCAGAGATGGCAAGGCTCAGGCCTGGCGTGGGGAATGCCCACTTGCTCCCTTGCCCCCAGCCCCGCTGCTGCTAGGCGCTGGCCCACCTCATCTGTTGGGTCATAGTACTGCTCCAGGTAGGGGTGGGCCAGCGCTTCCTCCACTGTGATCCGTTTGTTGGGGTTAAAGGTTAACATCCGGTCCAGCAGGTCAAGGGCTATGGAAGGGCAGGAGTCAGGGGTCACACGGAAGGCTGGAGGAGCTCCCAGAAGCATCGCTTTGCTTCTCCATGCCCAGGGCCTGTCTCCTCTGGTGGCTGCTGGGCTCACGCACCCTCCACGGCTCCCAGGGTTTATCCCACACCCGCCCCCACGTCTCTCATACCTTTGGAGTCCGATTTAGGGAAAAGCTTGGCCCAGGCCACCTTGGTCTTGGAGGGCAGAGACTGTAGGTAGTTTCGGGCCTTCATGTTGATGATACAGTTCAGGTCCTCCTGGGACGGGGAGCCCAGGATGCCTGTGGATAAGGAGGTGACTTGGTAAATGATCACCTCCTCCTTTCTGGGAACAGAACAGGCAAGAGGGCAAGAACAAGACCCCCAAGCCCAGCAACCCATGCCAATCTCTTAGTCACCTCCTGGTCATTAGCATGGAGGTGCAGAGCAAGGGGCTGGGTTCAGGCAGACCAAGGCTCAAATTGTAGGTCTGGTGTCTCCTTAGGTGTAGGACTTAGCCTTGCTTTTCCCATTTATCCAGTGGGGATAATATCTATACCTCGTTGAGGTACTAGGGGATGCTGGAGGCACCCTGTACGTGGTGATGATATCCCTGACTTGGACTCTCAAGAAATGTCACCTAGGAAAAGCTAATTATCCCCCACTCAGTCAGCCAGGACTCCCTCACCCAGAATGTGGTTGAGCTGATCCAGGTAGTGCTTGCCAGGGAAGATGGGCCGGTTGGAGAGCATCTCAGCCAGAATGCAGCCCACAGACCAGATGTCGATGGACTTGGTATAGCCCTGGGAGAAAGGAGGAAGTGATGGGCTCCCAGGACAGCCTCAAGAGGGTCCTGCTGTCTGCGCCAGGTCACCACCCCAAGCTCAATCCAACACCATGCAGAAGGCAGAGGCCTGGAGGGCTCCACTCTCAGCTTCCTTGCAGAGCCCAAGGCCCAGAGGGTGGAATGGGGGTCAGTGCCTGGCTCAGAGGTAGCTCCAGGGCTTCCTGGGACCTGGCCCCTTCCCTTCAGGAGTGGGCAGCCCCTCCTACCTTGGAGTTCAGCATGATCTCTGGGGCCCGGTACCAGCGTGTAGCCACATACTCCGTCAGGAAGCCAGTGTGGTCGTGCTCAGGATCAGCAATCCGGGCCAGGCCGAAATCGCAGATCTGGAATCAGACCCAGCTGCTAAGCTCGGTGCTCAAGGCCTCCGCAGCCCAAGCAGTCACTCCCCCTTGTCTTTGCTTCTGCTGTTCCCCTGGCTTGCAATGTTCTCCTGCCCATGGCTTCCATTGGTCACCTGGAAGCCCCAGACCCTGGGGGAGGAGGAGACAGGTGCCCAACCCTCTGACCTTAAGGTCGCAGGTGGTGTTGATGAGCAGGTTGGAGGGCTTTAGATCCCGGTGGAGGACATTGGCGGAGTGGATATACTTGAGGCCCCGCAGGATCTGGTAGAGGAAGTAGCAGATGTGGTCATTGCTCAGCTGCTGGCTTTTAAGCAACTTGTACAGGTCAGTCTCCATTAGGTCCTGCACAATGTAGCTGAGGATG